ATACTGACACTGAACTTTCTGTCACAGAGTAACTGCGACAACCAAGCCACCATTTGGGGATGCAACCCAAGCCAGGTCAGCTGCCCGCATAAGAAGCAATGTTGAACCGAGTCAACTGCAATACGGAAGTCTAAGTAGCAGACCCGCACTGGATTTTCCACATCAAGGCTTCGAGTTATTTCGTCCAAGAAACACAACAGATTCGCAAGACGACTTCTTTCTAACAAAGCCATGCTACTCCCTTTCAATCAAGCTGTCAGCAACCAAGTGCTCACAAATTCCGTACCTAATAAGTTTCTCCAGGTCCTTAAGCAGAATACGTGTCAGGCTGACTGGCCAATACTTGAATGGCGCAGACTTTATGTCCCCTTATTAAGTTCCACAACAGTCGTCCATTTATAGATAGGTCCACCTTCCAAAATGAACACCGGAATAGGCTTAAGGCGGGAAACTATAGAATATTAGAAAGCGGCTTAACAAGCACTGGACGATCAGTATCAGAGCCTGCAGGTTTATAAGGTTTAAGGCCAGCCAGCCCCTAGAGTACCTCTGATGCGACTGGTACAAGGCATTGCATTTTAACGGCACATGCGAGGTATGACTGCGAGGGGATTGCACAGCAACTGTCCACACGGTGCAAGTGCTGAAAAATACGCAATAACACTTCCGCCTTCTCTGCAGCTTCCACGACCTCACTAGAATTCCCGCCATCAAAGCTGTTGACTGTACATAAGTGTAATACAACAGGATTTATTTTTCATTCTGAGCTAACCTGAACTCATAGCGACATTTAGCTTGTTTCTGTAATTGGGTTGTTCTCTTTTGATATCATTTATAGTTTACCCATTGTCCAAAGCCTTTTGAATGCGGAAAGATTTCCCAACATATATTACGTCTCCGAAGCACTCGGGTATGTTCGAATCACGACCAACGGAGCTTGGTTCCGCCTCTATCGGGACGCAAGGGGCGAAAACATTTAGCAACAACACGAAGCCGGCTTCACTGGGCCCCATCGTTGTTCTAGTGTTGCCTGTACTTGGGCATGAAACCAAGGGTGCAGCAGTGCTCCGTTCCATAAACCGCTATTGTCGATTCGGCCAGTCGCGGTTTCAGTGGTAGCTGCTTAACGCTCATTGAGAATGTAATAGCACAACGAGTTCTCTTAATGGCGAGGGCTTCCACGTGCATCTCACATACATGGTCAGACCTGGCGATAACGGCACATAAAGTGGAGAAGGGAGCCCCAATACAACTTATCATCAGAAGTAGAACGTATTAAACGGACATATTCTTCTGTATCCATTGAAACAATTCCCACTCCAGCATAACTGTCACCGTGATGACATACTCCCAGTCTACATGTGGATATTTTGGGCCACGACCTACACCAAAATTCCGTGCAGTAAATGCCATCTACTTCAAGGCGTAGCTGAGCTCCTTGTGCGCCAACCTTGCAAGGAAGGGCCACGGTAAAAAAAGACGGAATTTTTCAACCCACAAGCTACCCTCAAAAAGCGAGCAGCAGGATGAACGTTTGACACTGCCGCGGAAAATGTAGCTTTCCAGTGCTTGTGGCTGTTTTACCCTGTACAAGCACCACTCCAACGTGATGTCTGGGTCCATCCACTCCATGACTGGCAACATCCGCCAGTAAATCACTAACATGATCAGTGGAAGACATGCAGGTTTCAGTCAAGGCGACAACATCGGCGAACCCGCCAAGCAGCGTCAACTCTTACCGCTTAGTATTGACGCTACAACTGTTAGTGTAGCACACTCTCAAACCCCCTACCTGCAGCTTCCTTATTTCAGTCGCTGTTGCTTTATTGTTCCGCAATGGGGCAGTTGCGGAGGGGAAGGCGTCAAGTTAGAATGGTTTCTTAAACATCCTCCAAACCAAGAAATTGGACTCCATGGCAGATAAGCTGGTTTCCATAAATAAATAAATAAATAAAAAGCTTATTCTCGTCATTGCGAGACACATCATCCAGGGTGTGATCATGGTATTACAGCCATGTATGATCGGCAATTGCACAAATTAGTACATTTTGACCAAATGGCATAGGAATTTATGTATGTGTTGCGAGGTAAAACTATGTTTAACTGTGTATTTGGAAGGGGACATGTTGTGTGAGTAGGTAAATGTGACTGTGTGTGCTTTGTTTGTTGTGCTCGCCGTCAAAGGGAGGAATCAATGGAGCGCTTTGAGTCGGAGGACCTTCGTGACACGTGAATGATCCTCCGGAAAAGGGAAGAGGCAGTGACAATCTAGTGACGAGTCACATCTGCCACGTCACAGTGTTATTAAACGGATGCTTGTGGATTTTTACAGGGAGAACGCGTTCCAGGCGAAATCCCACCACATCCTGGAACACTGCCGCCGATCCATATGCTGGAACGGGGTTTACCCGAACCACCCAGTTGGCACCACGAGGAGGTTGTTCGGCTAGCCAGCCCCACTTGCTGTGTTAACGGGACGCACAGCCGATTTTTATCCGCACTTTTACACACTAATTTCCTTAACCGACCACCTACCAGTAAAACCACCCTCTAAGGTCGCTGGACTAGTCTCAGAAGCGACCAACTCTTCCTTACATTTTACCTCCGAAACGTTCCCGATTGCTGAGGGTGTTAGTGGAACAGCGGTTGCGCCAGCTGTTGTAGATGCTACGCCTTGACCACATTCCGTCAGGAAAAGTTTGTTGTCTCTTCCTTAGTACTATTTTTGCCTGTGGGAGCGGTATGCAAGCTACCTGGCATAAACTAATTCTTCGCAGTCACATTCAAGGCACGTAAGTTGTCTTTTGGTAATTGTGTGGAGCATTCGCACGAGGCAAGTTCGACTACTCCCGATGATTTGTGGGAACCTAATCAATTGCAGATCACGTCATTTGACTGTAATTCACACACAGAACCAAAACAAAAGGCTCATTTACCGGTACGGTGGGTAGAAAGCTAGAGTGTACGATACCAATTACCATGGGCCCGCGGTCCGGAGCACTAACAACCCAGCACTGCTGAGCAGCAAGTGACGGTAAATCAGGCTGTTGAGCTCACCCAGTATAGGTCCTGCAAAACCACTTTGTGCAATGTACTCGGCTTCTCCAATCGCCTAGTCGATGGATGCGCTTGCAAAAACATACGACGGTATCCCGAGACTACGGAGAATCCGCCTACTATCCAACTCCCGCCGAGTTTTCGCTTCCCGTATAAATAGATTCACTTCATTGTAGATAAGACCTTACAGTTGCGTTCCCATCGCAATTTCTGTATGGCATGCGCAACAATTACAGGAAGGATGAACATCAGCAAATCTACAACTTAACCCATTAAAGAATAAACTCTGTTCCCAGCTTAAATGTTCCGCGGCACCGAGGGTTTGCAGACGGTCAGCCCGATGCGGATCCAACTGACGTTCGCGAACTATGTGTGAGTAAGCATGAGCTAAGCAAAAGCAATGGAAACATACCAACTTAAGAGTAGGATGGCAAGCGTAAATAGCAATCGTAGCTTGCTCTAGCCGTGAACCAATATTATCTAGTAGTATTAGCATGCCATTATTATCATGTCATAGTAAACATAAGCACTTCTGAACGCTGTTCATTACTACTTTGACGAAGTTATACTCCCCGCAGTTACAATCCACGTGAGGAGCCATGTGCAAAGTAAAAACAGCGTGAGCCTAAAAATACAAAGACCAGGGTGCTATGCTTCAACAGTAAAAACAACGAGAAGTGCAATGATAAAAGCAAAACTACAGCAAAATAAACAAGAAACATATCGAAACGTCCTCAGGGGGCTAGGAGCAGGACAGTAGAAGCTCTATCTACCGACAGATGAATGCCAGTGCGAATGTGCAAAGCGCAGAGACCAAGGCACAGGGCGAAAAATACGCTTGTCACTGCACTTCGAGTTTCCACGTAACTTCATTAATTTTAAAACCATGGAATGTGCATTCGAGTGCCGTTTAAATGCATAAATGGCATCTTTCCAAGACTGTTCTCGGCTTTCGTTCGGCCTCATCTAGAATACTGCGTTCAGGTTTGTCCGCCCTGCCTCGTCAGGGGCAAAAGGGAACTAGAGAGGATTTTACGAGTGGGTACTAAGTTAGTCGACGAATTACGAGGACGGAGTACCCCGGGCCTCTATTTCGTTTGGGAATGCATTCAATGCACTGCCGAAGGCTTAGAGGAGACCTAATCCTAACCTACCGTATCTTAATTGGGAAGGTTGGTGAAAACTTATCTTGGCTATTCAGTCCAACTAGATTGTCTGTTCTACACGATCACTCCTTGCAGCTGGACAAACCGCAATCCGATCGGATTAGGGCGGAAATCCGGCTGTCACGCAGTGTCAGTAAGCTTTGTAACCTGCTGGCGGAAAGTGTTATCAGGGAATCCACGGTTAAGAAGTTTGAGCGGCAACTTGACGCTCTTGGGTGGCAACACGAAACCTTCCCATTTTCCTGAGTAACTCGCATCTGCGTCCTTCGATTTTCTTTTCCCTACTTTTCTTCACGCAATGGTATTATTTTCCTATTCAAGTGAACATCTTTATTCTGTACCTTCGATTTTTATTCCTATCCTTTGCTTACTTCACGTGCATGACACAGCGGGGACTGCTAGGGCAGGAAGATGGGATTAACTGTTTGGCCGGGGTGCGATACAGGTGTTCTGTTTTAGATCAATCAATAACTAAGCACTTCAACAATTCCCGGCTTTACAACCCACTCAAAATGGAACACTCTCGGGATTCTCCTATCGTTCCAGTCACGTCTGAACTTGAACTTACAATATTGCAAAATTCTTACAGGTAGCTTTGTAGGTGAAAACCAAATTAAAATTGCTTAGGTGGTTAATCGATTATGTGGGAACTAGCATATTGTATTCGCTTTGTTCCGCCTTTCCATGTTTAATTGTACCAGTTTTAAGGCCACAGAGGTGTCTGCCTTTAGTCATCTACACGCGGACGCAAGGCCATTCGTTGTTTTTCCTTTTAAGATGGTATGTCGTTTAGTTTTTGTCATACCTTCTAGTTGGATTTAAGTGAAAAAGATCTGCAAGGTACCGCGCTAGTGAGTCTAATTGTTGAATTTCAGAGGCGCGAGAGACCTTTGCTCTCTTTGACTTTGTTGGTGACGATAAAATCGAAGTGAACTGCGTTGGTGAAGTTGTTCGCGCACTAGGACTCAACCCAACTGAGTCCGATATTCGGAAGTTTTGCGGTCAATATGAAGCAAGTAAGCACTTATTGTTGTAGTTTTTCTTCTGGTGCTAATTGTGGTGTCTATATTTGTTCAATTTGAATTGCAGCACTAATTGAACTTAGTGACTACCTGCAATTTCATTTGCTTACGAATAGAGCAAATAGACACCAGCGACTTATTATGAACGACAGTGCCAGGCTACTTCCGCTTGGTACTTGGTTTAAATTGTTACTGTGTGATTCGTTTGCTGTTGGCATTTATGTTCAAATTGAAGTGGGACTGCAACGATGAGTTTTCCTTCTTCAGCGGGTCTTTGAACGGGTTAACGAAGGACTTTATATTACAGATGGGTCTAAAACAAAAACCGCTTTACACCCTGTCTAACCAATTACTGCCCATGTATCCTGCCCTAGCAGTCCCTGCTAGTAAGGAAGAGGAAACAGTAAAATGAGAGGACAAGAGGAAGGGAGCTAAACAAATAGGATGCCAAGATATTTCAGTCATCAAATAGCGAACTGATGACCGTTTCTTGAGTAGATATTTGCCTGTGGAATCTATCCATGGCCGCTGTGCCCCTAGCCCTCTTCCTCATCAGTGGAATTTAGGGAGCAGAAGCCTCCGTACGATGGTGGTGGTGGACAGAGTCCACCATCGGAATCTCAGCGTTCAGGACTGAATTCTTAACTCTCATAGCATCATAGGCTGCCCGCCAAATATTCGGAAGTAATTCAACGGCATATGTGATCGTTGGACCCTAGAGGTGCACCGTACGAAGTGGAAGTACTTAGCGAAAACTAAGAGTTAGTAGTAGCGTCCCTAAGATCGATTACAAATCGCCACTGATTTCAGGACTGCAGTATATCCTCACGGTGGCCGAGTGGCCCGCGTGCCTTGTTTGCAACCATAAGGGATGGGGGTCCTCGCAGTATACTCAGATCACCCGCGACTGGTGGTGGTCGCGTGACAGCGAAGCGCCGTTACGGCGTACAGCTGGAGATTTATCTTTCATTTATATCCTATCTCACTAATGTGGACCTCATAGAATTAGGACACACCAACCAAACTCTGGGGAATTTTCATTAAATCACTCCTCTACTACTGTCCATCTCCGAGCGTCGCCTTAGCTGAGTTCGGTATTGCCAAACAATATGCTGTCGTCGAATCTCCTCATCAGATAATGTTGCCGGCTTTATTTGTTTTTCTCAACATTCATAACCTAGGATCGATTTGTGAATTGGCTGCATTCTCATACCCATTGGATACGTTTGTCATTGTCGCGTACTGCATTTCTGAGAATAGAACTCACGAGTGGCGATTATCAAGCGAACTTCGTGTGGCATATCTTGTCATCCACAGCCTGGTTTGGTTTAAGCATTTTTCTCAGATCTTGCGGAACTTGGCCCATCAAGTCGACAGGCAACGAGGCTAGCTACATTCGATCATCGGCTTGGCTCATTTATGGTGGCAGCACCGTGTGAGCAATGTGCATGTTCGGTGTCGTGTACTTGGTGCAGGAAGAGCGAGTGAACCGCTATGCACCGTTATATCACGCAGCAGGCTCCGATGGCTGAGCCACGTGTTGCGCATACCAGCTCACCAACTCCCGCGACGTGTGTTTACGCGCCGGGGCTTGCGTGGAAGAAGAGGAGCGGAGGCCAAGCGATGACTTGGTCAAGAGGAATGAAATCCCTTACTTCGAAGTTGGCGTCAGTTGGTGGGTCCCGACTGCCTGGCTGGGGTCTGAAAGACGAACACGTCTGGTTGAATACACTAGTTGACATGGCGAGGAGCCGACCCAAGTGGCATTTGTGTTGTGTTTATTTAGCACCCCTTACTGCTTTGCCTCCCTCTCCAAACACGATCTCCCTTTTGACGCGTACTATATTTCTAAGTAATCTGTCGCCTGTTTTGCATTCTATAATATACAGTAACTTGCTTTTTCGTATGTCTTATTTTTATGCGTTGCGGCACAACAGTTGGTGTGTTTCTGACCTTCAGCCAATATGTAATAATGATGATGACGGTTCAGATCTTGCGCAAGCCCCCACCGATTGATCAGATGCTACGTTGCAGTGTTAACAGTTCATTTATATTCCTAACTTATGGAGAAATGAGTGGTCAATTTGGTCGCCTGGTTTTCTCAGACGTTTGTCCAGGTGTGATCTTAGGACTTCATGCCGAACGTAGACATAATTGCTAGCGTTTATTGAAGTTGTGCGCCGGTCTTTCATTGTTTCTAAACAGTACTAAAAGGCGTAGAGAACGCCTAAGTACCATTTGGCGCTCCCTGGTAGTTGATCTTCCATGCATCTAAATTGACCACACGGTTGTGAGCTTCATGTAGCGTGACTCTTTTATAACCATTGTCTCTCATTACGTCGCTGATTTTCGTTGAACTTCACAGAAAAGCGCAGCAAATGAGGTCTGATTGACTACAAATCTGTCCTAACTCACAGTTTGTTAAACCCCACAGGATATTCTGCTTAGTAATTCTGTACTTTTCACGGCGACATTGCACGGGGAATTACGCTTCCGTTATTGCCAGTCGCCAACGCACCCGACGTCGTGCATGCTAGAATCCAGACAGTCTCTGTTACTGCCCCGCGCAGACTAAGACGACCTGCGAGCTACGAAGAAGGACTAGTAGACAGCGAATCTAACACATGGGACACGGCTGCGGATTCTTCGTAATACTCCACCCAAGTAGCCACGGCATATCATTCATTGAGAGGCAATCGTGGAAAACGCTGGTGTTCTTATTCAAGATGGCTAGTTACGTTCGACCACCGGTGCCTTCGCAACTTGGCTCACATCTGGTGGGAACACCGCGTGAGCAACGAGCGTGTTCGATGTCGGCACAGGAAAAGGAAATGAACCGCTCAGCACCGTTATTTCACGCACCAGACTCCGATGACTCGGCCATGTGTTACGCATGCCAGCCCAACGACACCCGGGACGTGCGTTGTTTGCGCTCCGGGGTGTGGATGGAAGAAGAGGAGAGGTGACCAAGCGCTGAGGAGAGGAATGAAGGCCCTCACTTCGCAGCTGGCCTCAGTTGGAGCGTCTCGGCTCTCTGGTTGTGGTCCGAAAGACGATGAGCACGTTTGGCTGGATACACTTGTTGATATGGCTAGGAGCCGACCTCAGTGGCGTTCGTGCTGTAAGTTTCTTTGTCCCATCCCATCCCTCTTAGCCTCCTCCTCCAACTACGATCACATTATTTAACATTTTATAATTTTGCATACCAAATGATTTTTTCTGCTGCATGGTAGCCGGCAGCTAGCTTACCGGAACGATGCCCATCCGTTACCGGTAGCTCAGCTGGCTTGCACATATTTCATTTTGTTCCCTTTTTTATATATTGCGGCACAATAGCTGAGGTTTTTCCCACCTAAAGCTAACATGTATAATGTGTGTGTCTTATTCAAGATAATGGGTGCCATCTGATATATTTGGTGGGACACCTTTAGGATTTGCTCGATTGAACCCATGTTCCTGCACCACATCGATTTCAGATGCGGAGCCATAGCTATTTAGGTGCTTCACACGAAACCGGCTTAAAACATGATCACGAGTTTTAACTGTTTCCTGGTTACTAGACCGAATTCTGTCGTTCCTTCGGCAGTTAGTGATGATTATGAGGTCATATTCAAAAATCTCAACAACTTGAAGTAGTATTTCTTTGCATTCAGCTGGCGCGGACCGTTTGTATTAGTAGTGTTCAAGGAAGACAGTCGTAACGTCCGTGCCAATTAGTGGGACCAGCCTTATATATGTAGTAACAAAACTAATAGTTTTCATTCTCCTTCACGGCTCCCGGATACGAGAATATCACGTACGTTTTTGTCGCTGGTTGCCGGGATAGCGGCACACGTATCTCAGGCCACCGGCAACTTTGTTCCTTTATTTCAAGAGCGCGTTCAAGTTAATCCATCACTACTCTGTTCCATATGCTTACCTCAAAGGCGATCCCAAAGAGCATGTGCACTGTGTTTGAACACGGTAGATGACACCATTATTTACGGCGAATTGTCAGATGTATTTCTGTTTGCAAATGGAATCCTCATGTGCCCGTTTTATATTAGTATCGTATGATCCAGTGCGAAGTATTCCCTCTAAGAGTCGTGCGATGCTCGCGTTGAGGCGGTCTGAAAAAAAACAGGTTTACGCGGAGTATATAAACATCATCTTGTTGTTTTACAAGCGCGAGGCAGTACAGTCATTACTGCTCAGACTCTACGGAGTATTGCCATCCTCTGGAATGCACTTTAAAACTGCAAGGACTAATACTCGCTTGTTACTCCTTTGACTCTTGACAAATGGAACTGAATATAGTTGGTCACTTCATCTGTCTTGGTTGTTGTGTTGGCATCGATGAAAATGGGATTCCTGAGACTGGTTTACGTATTTCGTGAGTCTGCGATGCCTGGGGAATATTTTCCATGCTCTTATACCTCAATTATATAAGATCACAATGAAGTCCATCCTTCTCGCTGGTGATAGGATTTAACTCATTCATTCTTTGGTACTTTCATTTCCCTGACTGTTACTGCGTGCGAAGCATCGCTAAGTGCCGATGCCCATCTTAGTTTTTCAGCTCAGCAATAAGACTAAGCAGGTTGTATTCGTTCGGTCACGCGCAGCTCATCCCAACCTGCCGCTTACCAAAGATGGCCTTACTTTGTTCATCCGATCTAGAAAGCACGTAGCTCAAGGAGTGGAATCCTCGGTTTGCTGGACGAAAATGAAGTCACTGACCACTAGAGTCATCACCATCAACAGCAATACATCAACATTTGAACTGACACTTCGCTGCCGTATAACCACAATGATCTACGAGGAATAAGTGGGGGAAAAGGTAAACATAACGTATAACCTTAATGCCCTAAGCACATATTCAAGGCTAAGGCACACACCTCTACGAAAGCATGAACTTACAAACAGCTGTATATCGTGCAGAGAGGGAAAGACCGACGAAATGCGTTCAGTGCAGCTTATACTACCGCGCGTCATAATTGACCGTTACCACGCGG